GAATAAACCATGATGAAACAAGATATGCAAAATTTTATTTATTATCTCTCCTAGTATTATTATTGATGAAACACTTGAAAGAGCAGACTAATGCTTGAAACAGTAATATAAAAGCAGGTACATAATATTTAAATTTCACAAAATCATAACCTACAAATAGAAGAAAGGAATCGATCTGTAATCTTCGCATCTTATAAAATGAAGTTTGCAACTAAAATTAAGAATACACAAATGCAAAACTTTCAAATTTCCACAAATTATAGACTGTATTTATGATACAATCTTGAAACGTGCAACATAAATGATGATAAAATCGTCTGAGAATTTTACCATAACCTTATTTTAAAATCGCGACGATATTACGGAAGAATCATGTTAAAATAATATTCAAAAAATTCGCATTTCATTGAAGTGTGAAGCGGCTTTATTGTCATTTCCGAATGAAAAACACGCGGAATTACCGACTCGAATACGAACCGACGTCTAGAGCACACATTAGAAATTTTTTAATAACTGACAACCATGTTACTTACAGTCGTTTGTGCAAGATGAAGTAAATATACAATTCCAAATTCGACAGCAACAAATACTTCTTAGTTCGTACCAAAATTATTTCGTTATACTGCGCGCAAGTAAATAACAATTCCAATTCGCCATTTTACGTTACCGTTTACGTGAAAGAATAGCGAAGCAACCGATAGACCGCAAAAGATTACGCCACTGCGTCACTGAAGTAGTTTCCGGCTCCGGTTTTCTAAGACGTTAACGGCGCGAAATTCAATATGTGTCATGCAAAGTGTACAAATGAATATTAAGAAATATGTATTGCATCTATATGAAATGTATTAAACATTTATCATTTTGAACATATGGAATTTATGAAAAGGCATATGATAGATATATACTTATGAAATTTTGTCTATGAAATGAAAATAATTTGAATCTTAAAAAAACAGTATGTTCTGACCAGAGTTCAAGTACGTAGACGTATTTAATATTAAGTTATTTACATGTAATGGTAATGTAACAGATATTGTTATTTATACATGCAATCATATATTTTTAAAGAAAACGTACAGTAAAACTTCAATTATCCGACCTACAATATCGGAATTATCTATTATGCAAATACTTTTGACATGTAATCAGTTTAATCTAAGGCAATCTATATGCAAAACGATGAACAAATTAATGAAGATAAAATCTGGCGCTGTAAGTAACTGTTCCTTTATCCGTAAATTCTTGTCACTTTGACCCATATAATCGAAATTCTACTATAGTACATTATAAGATTGATGCTCACAAGGAACTTTAAAATTAATGTCAGGTAAAAAAAGGGTAGTAGAGATATTCATGTATATTTAATTTATTCAAAAGGCAATTACAAATAGACTGAAAATACATCAAAATATACTATACATCGAATTTTAAAACTTAAGTCTATTATTCAGTCATGTAATCAATGTCTTCTTTATATTCTATAGATGTCCTGTATTCGTTACTATTAGTAACATTGTCACGAACCAAAGAAACTAATTTTTTACTACTTTGCTGTAAAGTATACGAACTAAACGGAAAAAAATTTTCGATTGTAGTTAATGCGGTCTTATTGCTATTAAAAATTGGAAGTTGACTTCGTGTATTGTTCTCAATTATGGTATAACAATATGCCAATTGGTACATTCGCGTAATTTCTGCAAAACTGTGTAGAATTTCAGGATGACAAGCTTTCAATGGATTCAACTTAGAAGTAATAATTTTTGCTAAGTCCAACTCTTGTAAATATAGCATATCTGTAAATAAATGATAAAATTATTGCATTTAAAATTTGAATCACGTATTTTGTGAAAATAAATTAAAGCATACTTACATTTTTTTGAATCAGGATAGTCATTATGCCTTTTACTAATTATGAGAAATAACGCTTGACATACTGAATAGAATACTGTATGATCTTTCTTCTCATTACTTACATAGCTTGAGTGGTCTTGCATGTTGATATAATCATGTATCCATTTACACAATTTAAACTGCACCACTTTCACAATGC